TTGACTGATTGCACAGACACTATTGGAAGAGAGCTGAACTGGATGATGACATCACTGTATCATCGATGAGCTGACTTTAGCTGGAAAATGACCGCATAGCCTACGGCGTAAAGGCTACGGCGTAGGTCAGACGCAGAAGTATAAATCAGCCTTTAGTAGGCTCGTTTGAAATACGGCTAGCCTCACCTGAAATTTAGGCGTGAGTAGACGACTGCAGTGAGAGGAGGAGTGATATAAGCGCAGTCAAGATGGATAGTTCTGTTGGAAGATTACACTATTGGAAGAGAGCTGAACTGGATGATGACATCACTGAATCATCAATGAACTAATTTTATCTGGGAAAATGACTTTTTGTTATTGTCTTCTTGCATTATTGACAAACTATTTTCCTGTTTGACACTGTAAAGCTGCTTTGACACAATCAGCATTGTATAAAGCACTATACAAATAAAAGTGACTTGACTTGACTTGAACCAACCAGAAATATTTCTTAAACAGTATGCTATGATAGAGAGTGCCAAGGTGGCATATAAAATATGCTCTATGCTGACGGGTTCAACATACTCCAAAAACAAAAAAAAAATGGATAACCGTTTGATGACATATCCAAAAAACTTTCAAGCTGGCAGTTATCAAACCATTATCAAAAAGCTCCAACTTGTCCCATAATTACACCAAATAATGATCTTTAAAAAAGCATCATATGACCCCTTTAATTATAGAGCAATCTTGCCCCAACCAACTGTTCATTTCTGCAGAACCAGTAACTGTACATTTACATTTAGTCATTTTGCAGACACTTTTATCCAAAGCGACTTACAATTTGGGGATACATAAAGCGATTCTTCTTAAAGAGGCAAACAGATACAGGAAGTGCTTGTAATACCAAGTTTCTAGACATTGTTCAAATAAGTACAAGATAGAAAGAGAAGGAATAAATAAAGAGAGAGAAATTTTTTTTTTTTTTTTTTTTATAATGATGATGATGAAGTCAAGTAGCTTCGAAAGAGATGAGTTTTCAGCTGTCGCTTGAAAATTGTCAGGGATTCAGCATTCCGAACTGTAGAGAATTTCAGTCAGGATTTAGGTCCCATCATAACACAGAGACTGCATTTTTCAGAGTTACAAATGACTTGCTTGTATCATCTGACCACAGCTGCATACCTACCGATCCAATTGCTACCAGTTTGTTTGTGTTAACTGTGGGATGTAGGACGGAGTACCACAGGGTTCAGTATTAGGTCCTCTACTATTCTTTGTATATGTTTCACTTGGGAGAGGTTGTCAGGGACCATGGCATTAGTTTCCACTGTTACACAGAAGATACTCAGCTCCTCCAGTCCTAAAGAAATACCTCAATTGTCTAAGTTAGCAGATGTATTAGTAATATCAAAGACTGGATAGCTAGTAATTTCCTACGTCTGAATTCTGACAAAACAGAGGAATGTATTAGTTAGGTATTAGTTAGCCCGAAAACCTCTGAACATAACACAATAAAACAATGTGTTTGACGGTTACACAGACTTCTATGGTTAGGGACCTTATGTCTGATAGAAATCTGTGCTTTGACAATCATATTTCCAATGTTAGTAGAAAAGACTTGTTGCTACACTAAGATATGCTGTTTGTTTCTGATGCTAAAAAACTAATTTATGCATTCATGACTTAAAAGTCTAACCAAAGTCTGCAGGATTTTTTATTAGTCCGTCAAACATATATTTAATTAATTCATACCTCACTGTTATTCATTATTCACGTCCGCTGGAACTGAAAACACCTCTCTTATCCTACAAGTCTGCTCTAAATTATTGAATAGAATCTAAGGTAATATTAATCTTTTGCATTCCTTATCCTTGGGATACATATCCAGCCGATCCAGCTCTGGCCCAGCGTGATGTTGCTCTTTGATGCAAGGGGCATCTCTACAATCAGTGTGTGTAAAGCTGCTTTAAAACAGTGCGTATTGTGAAAAGCACTATACAATGAAAAAAATACTTAACCATGGCACTCTTATTAAATAAAAAGCCTTAATACAAAAGTTAAAACTGCTCACTTACACTTATTCAATTAGAAAGTCATCATATGACTTATATAATAAGCAATGTACTATAAATTTGTGGGAAGTTTGTGCAGAAGGCTCATACCAAAATTCAGGAGAGCTGTTTTTTAATCAATAAGAGTACCATTGCATTCCTTTCATCTGAACATATTTTAATGGTAGCACAGTTCAGTGAGAGAGTACTTGCTGACCCCATAATCGTGGTTCCTCATGAAGCAGCTGATCTGGCCGTATGGGGTGTGCTGGCTATCGCTGGGGTCTGAGGCTCCGGTCAGAGTTTTACAGGCGCTCCAGTATCCAGCCAACCGCTGCTCATCCACACAACAGAAAGATGCAGAGGAATCCAGCTGCCATCAGACACAACAACAAAAGAGCATGTCATGATTCAGAAATGCACGTGGATTATCTCAACAGATTACTAGTCCTGGATGCTTGATTGGTCAATACAGCATTTCAGTTGTGTCATGAAGGTGAGTAAATAATGACAGCATGTACTTTTTTGGGCAAAGTTTTCCTTTAATTTGATAATGTCTCACCTTTGTGAGCAGTTCTCGTGCCATTCTGAAGTGTTCTCTGGCTTTCTCATACACTGAAGGGTCAGAACAGCCTTGCTGAAAGTAAATGCCTCCTAAATCGTAATGCACCTGCCAGATATTAACATAGATCACTTTTAAAGGAAGAATGAACCCAAAAATTAACATTTCCTGGAAATATCCTCACCCACCGCCATCTAAGTTTTAGATGAGTTTGTTTCTTCATGGGAACAGATTTGGGGCAATAAAAACATCACAATAATCCACGCGACTCCAGTCCATCAATTAATGTCTTGTGAAAAGCTGTGTGTTTGTAAGAAACAAATTCATAATTAAAGTGCTTTAACTTTAAACCATCACTTCTGACTAAAATGCGAGTCCATACTCCATAATAACGCTTGCTCTAGTGAAGTCTCTCACATCAAAATCCACTGATATATTTGTTTAGAACAGTTTTGGACTCTTTTTGCTCGTGATTGATCTGTGCATATTTCTCTCCTGATGACTTTTTCACTGGTGAAAGCAAAATCATGCATTATAGACTCGTAATTTAGCTGGAAGCAAATGTTAAAAACATCTTAATGACTTATTTCTTATAAACACACATCTTTTCTCTTCTCCAGATGTTAACTGATGGACTGGAGTGCTGTGGATTATTGTGATGTTTTTATCAGCTGTTTGGACATTCTGACGGCACCCATTCACTGCAGAGAATCCATTGCATAGCAAGTGATGCAATGCTACATTTCTCCAAATCGTTTTGCAATGAAAAAACAAACATCTGTATCTTGGATGGCCTGAGGGTGAGTAAAATTTCAGCAAACTTCCATTTTTAAGTGAACTGATCCTTTAATAACAGAACAGATCTTCGCATGACAAATGAGCACATTACAGCAGAGTTAACTAGTGTGATTTATTTCCCTGTAGGACACACCTGACAGTGCAGGTGATCAGCGCTGATGCGCAGTCCTGCGGTGGACGACTCAGTCTCTCCATTGGCTGTACTGGGATCAGCAGCCAGCAGGTCTAGGGTTCGAAGCGTGTGGATGTAGAAGTCTTTTTTAATGTTCAGGGCTCCTTCTAACACCGTGATAGAGTCTGTGGCCTGTTCTTTGAGCTGAGGAGCACAACGTTAAACAAGTGACAGGGCTATGACGAGCTTTCCTTGAGAATGAAAATGGCATTTTAAAGCGTGACATCAGACATTGATGAAAGTTAAACAATAAAACACATCAATCCTTCATACTTGAAATCAACATGAAGGAAGGAAGTTGTGGCTTGTATTACGCCTCACTGCTTCTTCTGCTGTTATTCTGTTGCACTACGTACTTCTTTTGAATTAGTAATCCAATATTGTGTGAAAATCTCCTTTTACAACCCAAAGCTAGAGCAATCAGATATCAGAAGCACTAATTTCAGTCGTACCACACTCAGTATGTTCTCTGTGAGTTCCTTTTCCTGCTGCACCAAACTCATCCTACAGAACACAAAACACTATTAGCACTTAAACAGCTCACAACACAAAAAAACGACACTCATGTTTTCCCTTCCTTACATATTCAGCTGATGTGGTCCAGGTTTGGTCTGCTTCTCTGGAAAGCTGCTCAACACAATCGTACGAATGGCCCTATTGAGACAAAGATCATATTACACTGTTAACACAGCAAGTGGCTGACGCAGAATCAGCTTGAAGATTCATGGACCATTCAGCTGTAATCTGCTGCAAGCTCAAAGCTACACTTAAGCAACAGTAAAAGAAGTGGATTTCTTTGTTGCTTATTTCATTTGCATCAGAAATATGCAACGTGTCTATATATATATATATATATATATATATATATATATATATGAGCCTGGAGCACAAAATCAGTCTTAAGTCGCTGGGGTAATATATATACACTGTGGTCAAGATTCAACAGACCTGAGTCAATTATTCAGTTTATATCAACGGTTACAACACAGAGACACTGTTCAGATGTTTTATTTCAAGACATCTGTCAGGTTTTTGTCCTTCAAACGCTCTTGTGTGTAGGACTAATTTCTTACGCTTCTCATCCCAAGCCTCGTTTGCTAAATCCAAAACATCATTTTAGAGTGAGTAATGGAGGCTTGAGCCATTAATATGCAGATTAACACAGTTATTGAAGAGAGAGAGAGAGAGAGAATTACATATACATTACGTATTTATCCTATTATTCATGTTTGTTTGCTTGGTCAGTATCTTTGGTGGTTTTGGTTTGTCAACCAGAATCAGAATCAAGCATTCAACAGCACCACGGTACAATATGATCTGCCAATAATTAATATAATTAATTGCAAATTAATCACACAACAATTTTGGCTGAGAAATAAATAAAAAATAACCCAAAATTCAGTTAAAGTCATTACTATTCATTGTTTTTTATTTTGAAATTAATATTGAAATATGATTAAAAAAAAAAAATTTTCAAAAGATCAATATAAAACTAAAACCACCAGTAGATGGCAGCAAGTCATTGTTTTATTGCAGGGGTGTCAAAACTCAGTCCTGGAGAGTTTAGCAACATCTTACCTCAACACAGCTGACTGGATGTTTCTAGTATGCCTAGTAAGAACTTGATTAGCTGGTTCAGGTGTGTTTGATTAGGTTTGGAGCTAATCTCTGCAGGACACAGGCCCTCCAGGACTGAGTTTGGACAGCCCTGCTTTAATGAGTGAGTAATTCATTCAACCAATTAGTTCAAAAGGCTAATTAATTCATAAACTAAGCCAGTGACTGTTTTATGTTTAATTTTTTTTCCATAAACCTCTCATTTCAAAGGCTGTGCCCTCCAGGTTGCATTTGCAGGCCGCATACACCAGAGAGCAGGTCTCATTTCAAAGAAATCATTGCAAAACTGACTGTAATTCCTCATGAGGCATAATATACTGTCATTTCTTTCTAACTTTGGAATGAAATGGTACATTTTCTGAAACGAGGCAGCCTCAATGATGTGTGCGATCTCCTCCAGAGGACCTTCGAAATGAGTCGCAGCCCCAGATCTTACAAAGTTTTACCTGAGCCTGCATTAGCTATGACACACAGTTAAACTGTCACACTGACCATCTATTGTAGACGAGCACGGCCATGGCTGTGGTGGGCGGCAGGGTGGACAAATCCAGATCTACATGCTTAACTCCAGGAGGAACACGACTGACGCACAGAAGCTCATTCAATAACATATTAAGCACAGGGATGGTCAAACTGTGAAACAAACAGGAAGACAAAGAGGACACTTTAAACGAGAAGAGAAATTATCAAATGTGGACGATCGAGGGATTGCATGTTGTCTAAAGACGGACTAAGATGTCCAATTGTCCAACCCAGTTTTTACATTTTCTTAAGAGAATGTAAGTGGAGTTTGCCTGTGCAAAATTGATGGCCACAATGGTCAGGCATTGCTTTGAGGCTGTTCTAAATTTGTGTTTTAAGCACATTGCTGAGTGGCTCATTTAAGTGGAACTCTGGGTGGTTGCTAATAATAAAAATAAAATTAAAAGATTTCTTTCAAGTAATACAGAAAATCAGTATATTGCCCTCAAAGGGAAAACAACAATTCAAATCGCATGCTTTATCTTCACTCACCCCTTCTCTAGTACTTTCAAATCCCATGTCAGGTGTGCAGCAGCTTTGAGAGCCATCAACTTCAGTGTGCGGTTCCTCCGGTTGTCCGCTGGCGGCTGAACCTGGTTCTGCTCATTCACAGACGGTTTGGAGGCTTGCTCCAGCAACTGAACGATGAGCTGAACAGGAGACGGGTCTGTGGAAACCATATAAAACTTAATTCTGAAGCTCATCTCAGGAAACAAAGGGCTCGGTAAAAAGCATTTGCGGCTGATTTTACTTCCGTGATGTGACAGGTTTCCCAGTGGAACAGCACATGGGGGAAAAGCAGGAATTGATCTTATCCATGCAGAGATTATGAAGACGTGTTACAAGCTGAACTTAAAATAATATACAGCACACATTTTACTAGGACAGTCCTCTGGCATAACCTCAGCCTTAGAAAAATACTTTACTACAGTAAAGTCATGATCATATCCAATCTCCTTCAAGCAATGTAAGAGGATTTGTTTGTTTTCCTGACATTTTGTTTCTTTATGTGTCCTGTCACAGTTTCATAAACTGAACCGAAAATATTCTGCAGTTCTCATAAAAACACGAAAGTGCTCTAACACTGTTTTACGCCATTGTTTTGGCAATGCATCTGTCAATCGAACTACAACAGAAATCACGACAGGGCTTGGTGGTGGCTCTAGGGCAGTGAATCTCAACCTTTTGGCGTACCGGACCCCAGTCCAATTCAGAACCATCCTCAAGGACCCCCAGAACAAAATTGACTCATATCATTTGTGTCTTTGTGAGGACCAAATGCAGTCAAGTATAATTCAAGTTAGCTGACTTGTCCAGTATTTGGCCATATCATCAGCTATATTGGATTTTTCTTTCATGGGAACATGTCATGTCAAAATATACAACATTTATACAAAAATGTATACTTTATACAGACCCCCTGGCCTTATGTCAAGGACCACTAGGGGTCCACGGACCCCTGGTTGAGAAACACTGCTCTAGGGCATAAGATGCGCACCTGGATGAGGGCCCTGCAGGTGCTGCTCCAGTAGCGATGGATCCAGCAGAAACTCAAACCAGGAGGCCTGCGGCGGGGTGCAGGGCCGACTGCAGCTCAGCGCCTCGCGGTCTGCCACCTCAGCACTCATACTGACCTGCACAAAACATCAGCGCATGGCATTCAGTACATAAAGCATAATAGCTTTTTTATATGCTTTATTTGAACCTTCCGTTTACACTATGGTACAACAAAATTAGAACACAGTAATTAAAAATAACAGCAATGGAGAGAAAGAAAGAAAACATGAACAACCAATACCATAGCTCAAAATAGAAACGTAATAAATAAAGGAAAAAGAAAGAAGAGGGCATTATACAGAACAATAAAAATTAAACATTAAATACAATAGAAAATTTGTAGGCCATGCAAATTGTACATGTTCTGTGTGCTTTCTTGTTAAGTGAAACTGAAATATTTTTTCTCTTGTAAAAAAAAAACACTACAAAAACAGGTTTACAATTCGAAATTTTACATTTGTGAATATAGGATCTACATAAGAAGAGAATTAGGTTTATTACAAAACAGGCATTGGGATCCGAAAATATAGTAAATTTGGGATTCATTGAAAAATCTAACTAACAAATCTAACAAACTAACATCTTTCCAGAGATGAGAAGAATAACTGCATGACCAAAACAAATGAAGAAGAGTTTCAGTGTCATTCTGACAAAAGGAGCAAATTCAACAAAGTGTCAAAATCAGATCCAAATTTTTGACAGGGTAAATGTTATGGAGTATAAAGCGTATTAGCTCTGTCTTAAAATACAGCGAACAGACGTCATGAGCATAGACTGTAAAAAAACAGGTCATGAACACCGTATTTTTGGGCTTGAGTGCGGATTGTACACATGATGCCCAAAAATGCTGTCTAGGTAGGCAGCTCACAAGGATTTGGCACACAGTCCGTGTCTGTGATGTACTGGTTCAACATTTTTGAGCTTTTAATTGCAATCATATTATTTCATTACGTTTTAGTTACCGATAATTATTGACGATAGTAATATTGGTGTCAGTAGAGTTAACTTAATAATATCAGGCTCGTGAAAACTGTTTAGATGTGGCTCAATGCTAGTCTTTGATCTTTATAGTCCCACCGGTTTTATCATTTCCTGCATTATCACTCACCTGCTTTGAACTTCTGAATTAAAAATACGATTTATATCACAAACTGTTTCTATTAACGCAGACTACTGTTCCAAGACGCCATAGCATTGTTTCTTCATTGCAGAGGATCTATGAGAGACTGCGCGAAACAGCGCCGTTTACTGGACAGGCGGGTACAGAGAGCGCACAATTTATGAATATACCAATAATGTCGAGGAAAGAAAATATTTTGGAAACACGGTTGTTCAAAATGGCACATATAAAAACAAAAAAATATATATTTAAGTGTTCTTTTGTGTTATTTGATGTAATTTTGTATTATATTGATTATTTTAATAGCATTCTCTGTTTGCTTTAAAGCGTCATGAAACCCCCACCCCCCTTTCAGCACTGGTTAGTTCTCTTACCACAGTTTTAAAAAAACGCTAAAAAAATAAAAAATAAAAGTGGGCGTGGTGGAAGAGGAGAGACAGACAACACACACAGCTTCTAGTGATGGGAAGTTTGGCTCTTTTCAAAGATTCGGCTCTTTTGGCTCGGCTCCCTTGGAGCTTACGGCTCCCAAATGGCTCTCTATTTAGTATCACTCACAGCCTTCTATTTTAGCCCAATTTAGCAATTGTGAATGGTTTGTGTGTTGGTAACAATTTTTTATTCAGTGTTTTCATAAAAGCCTTATTTTTATGAATTTCTTTTTTCGTTACAAAAAAATACACAGATACTATTATTTAACATTTTAATAAAACTTTAATTGAACACAGAACCACAGCAACCACAGCAAACAAATAAATAAAGGCAAAAGTCTTAACATTAAGACACTTTTGTGCAGGTTGGCATTCAGAAATATCAGATGCCTCAGCTTGCATGTGCTGATGCGATTTCTCCTCTCTGTGATTATTTGTCCTGTTTTTGGGAAGACTCTCTTTGAGGGGACCGACGTTGCAACAATGCAGTGTCTTCCGGGATGCAACGGTATGAAAATTTCTAATCACGATTATAGTGACCAAAATTATCACGGTTATCCGTATTATCACGGTATTGTTAAAATGTGCTGGAAATGTTCAAAAAGTACTGACACACAAATCATTTCACCAAGTTTTACATTTAAATTCAACAAACAACAATTAAAATGAGTTTTTGTTTGGCTTTTAAATAAAGAAAAGGGTCAAGTCAAAATGATAATTGATTAATAAATGATTATATATATTAAGCAAAATAAGCTTGTTTTTCATCAACCAGTCCAAATTTACAGCAGGGCATGCAAATTCGGTCCATTTTTTGGCCCAGACAAAAACTGCACCCAGGCTGAATGTAAATGTAACTCTCTGTAAATCCACTCTCTGTAGCTTTTGGAACAGTAGAATTAGAGCTGTTTCCCATAACCTCCGAGGACAAAACAGCACTGCTCTTAAAACACTACTTTGTTAGGTATTACATGGAGCGAAGACGAAAACAAAATGCCATCAAATATTTTCTGAAGACAGTCAGAATCTTCAGAGGTACATTCATATAATTAATTCATCCATATATTCATTTGTATAATTCCCTTAGCACTCTTTAAAACCTCCCA